GGAAGGAAGGAAGGAAGGAAGGAAGGAAGGAAGGAAGGAAGGAAGGAGATTATAGTGAGAGGGAGGAAGGGTCTCAGGGAAGTCCTGCATTAGCACTTGGCCACCATGGGTGCCCCCAATACGAATCCTCTGTTATGCCCAGCATAGCAACAGCAATAGCACTTAGACTTATATAGTGCTTTATAGTGCTTTACAGCCCTTTCTAAGCGGTTTACGGAGTCAGCATATTGCCCCCCAACAATTTGGGTCCTCATTTTACCCACCTCGGAAGGACGGAAGGCTGAGTCAACCTTGGGCCTGGTGGGATTCAATCTGCCAAATGGCAGTCGGAGTAGCTTGCAGTCCTGCACTCTAACCACTGTGCCATGTCTACCACAACCATGGCCACTCATGGCCACAGCTACCCACGGCCACGCCCCATGGCCCTCCAAGGTCAAAGACAACCCTGATGCAGCCCTCAATAAATTGAATTTGACACCTCTGCCCTATACTATTCTGGACAAATGACTGTCCTCCAATCTTTTCTTATCAACCTCTAGGGTTTATAGAGCAGCCACAACTTCTGAAGGCAAGCCACCCAAAGGCAAGATAGACAAATATCCTATGTTGTGCTCTAAGCACACAGCCCTTAAGCATTCTCCATTGCTCCAAATAATGATAGGACATTGGTTTTCCATTTGATTTGATCATCCTGTGTGTGGCTCCCCCTTTTTCTGATCTTCTCAGTGGTTTTCCTTCCAGAAACCAGCAGAGCTGTTCGACCTGGAGACCAGGGGCTTCTTCTCCAGTCCCCAGCTGCGAAGGGGCAGATCTCAGGTACCGATGATTTACTTTATGGTTTAGCAAACAGAACAGCCACAAGCATCAGCTTCTGCAGCATTCCTATAAAATAAAAAGTGGCACATGGAATTTGATCGATGCGTTGGTTGGAAGTGGTAGGAAGTCCATGCGGTCTTCTGCTGGCAACCACAATTAGCAATAGCAATAACCGTTAGACTTTGCAGACTCTCTAAGCAGTTTACAGAATCAGCCTCTTGTTCCCAACAATCTGGGTCCTCATTTTACCCACCTCGGAAGGATTAGAAGGCTGAGTCAACCTTGAGCCTGGTGGGATTCGATCTGCCAAATTGCAGGCAGCTGGCTGTCAGCAGTACTGCACTCTAACCACTGCACCACTGAGGCTCTTTGAGCCCAAAATTGCTATTGCTAAAGTGAGAAATTTTCTGACTGTGAGAGCAATCAACCTATAGAACAGACACTGTGGGAGCTTCATCACTGGAGGCTTTCAAGAAGAGATTGGACTGCCATCTGTCAGAAATGGTGTAGGGTCTCCTGCTTGGGCGGGGGGTTCGACTAGATGACCTACAAGGTCCCTTCCAACTCTGTCAATCTGTTAAAGACACCTTGACGCAACGGACATGAAATTGGGCCAACCCCGTTGAGTAGAGGTAGGCCCTTGATTTATGAATGCAATGGAGCCTCTAATTTCTGTTGCTTAAGTGAAGCATTTGTTAGGTGAGTTTGTCGACATTTTGCAACCTTTCTTGTCACCGTTGTTAAAAGTCACCCTAGCTGTTAAATGAATCCAATGGTTCGTTAAGTGAATCTGGCTTTCCCATTTGACTTTGCTTGTCAGGAGGTCACAAAAATTGACCCCTGGGACACTGCGACCATCATAAATGTGAGTCAATCACCAAGCATCTAAATGTTGATCAGGCGATCATTGGGGAGGCTGCAATGGTCGTAAGTGTGAAAAACGGTCATAAATTGTCAGGGAATTTGTGCAGCAGCTGTGCAAATGAACTCAGGGATGCCGACATGAATTTGCAGTTTTATAAAAATAAATATATTTTACATCTACCTATGCAGCAAACAAGATAGTCAGGTGCATCACTGGCTCATGAGGTAAATTATTAGGTAAATCTCAGAGCACACTAAAAAAAAAACTCCCCCTTCTCACCTGGCAACCAATCATAATGCAGATTGCCTTGTGCAGGAACCCGCAATCAATCAACTACACATAGTCCTCAACTTACGACCACAATTGAGCCCAAAATTCCTGTCGCTAAGTGAGAAATGTGTTGAAATGGGGAATTTTGCCCCATTTTATGGCCTTTCTTGAGGTCTTGGAGCCCTTGTAGACAATCGTTTAAATAGGAGCCAGCCATGTGGTGCGGCTGCCAAAAAAAAAGCCAATGCAACCCTAGGCTGCATAAACAGAGTGATAGAATCAAGAACGTGTGAAGTGTTCATACCACTTTATAAGGCCTTGGTAAGGCCACACTTGGAATCCTGCATCCAGTTTTGGTCTCCACGATGTAAAAAAGAGGTTGAGATTCTGGAAAGGGTGCAGAGAAGAGCAATCAAGAGGATCAGGGGGACTGGAGACTAAAACATATGAACAGTTGCTAGAATTGGATTTGTCTAGTAGTCTAAAGAAAAGAAGAATTAGGGGTGTCATGATAGAAGTGTTCCAATATTTGAGGAGCCACAAAAAAGAGGGAGTCAAGCTATTCTCCCAAGCACTTGAAAAAAAGACGAGAAGCAATGAGTGGAAATTAACCAAGGAGAGAAGCAACCCAGAACTAAGGAGGAATTTCCTGACAGTGAAAACAATTAATTAACCTTAGACTGTCTACTATTGACCTCACCCCTTTCCTAAGAGGTCTGTAGGGGGCGTGCATAAGCGCACCAACGTGCCTACCGTCCCTGTCCTATTGTTTCTCTTATTCTTTTGTTTTTCTTGTATGTAACCATTTCATGTATTCACAACTATGTATACATTTATACTTATTATCTTGTAAACAATTGGCAAATCAAATAAATAAATAAATAAATAAACAGACAGGAACAGATAATCAGTGGAACAACTTGCCTCCAGAAGTTGTAAATGCCCCAAAACTGAAAGTTTTTGAGAAGCGATTGGATAACCATTTATGTGAAATGGTATAGGGTTTCCTGCCTAAGCAGGGGGTCGGACAAGAAGACCTCCAAGGTCCCTTCCAACTCTGCTATTCTATTCTATTCTATTCTATTCTATTCTATTCTATTCTATTCTATTCTATTCTATTCTATTCTATTCTATTCTATTCTATTCTTCTCTATATTTTATTTTATTCTATTCTATTTTATTCTTTTCTATACTAGATGACCTCCAAGGTCCCTGGTTATCTGATTATCTGTTATATGTTATTATTCTATTCTATTCTATTCTATTCTATTCTATTCTATTCTATTCTATTCTACTCTATTCTATATTATTCTATATTATCCTATCCTAACATATCCTATCCTATCCTATTCCAGTCCATTCCAGTCCATTCTATCCTATTCTATATTATTCTACTCTATTCCATTCCATTCCACTCCACTCCACTCCACTCCACTCCACTCCACTCCACTCCACTCTACTCTACTCTACTCTATTCTATTCTATATTATCCTATCCTATCCTATCCTATCCTATCCTATCCTATCCTATCCTATCCTAT